TGCTGTAAGCCGCCCTGAGCCTGCTGAGGCAGGGAGTGCGGGGTACAAATCTGTGTAATAAATAAATAAATAAATGGATGAAATGCAGAAGGGGAAGGTCGTGTGTTATATACCACGTCTATTGACTTTAAGGTTGTGAGCAAGCCATGTGGCTACTGCATAAATCAGTTTGCTCTGGAGCCATCCTCCCTGAGCTAAAACCAACATGTGTGAGCCGGAGGCTAAAAAATTTAAGCTTTTAACATATGGTTAAGACAAGTCAGTCCACAACAGTTAGGAAAAAATTAAGATTATATAGTTGAAATTGTAAGTCAGGTGCCTTATGGATACATCTGCTTGATGTCAATTAAGGTGAGTATATCAGAGGTCAAATATGTATATGATGAGATTTTATTGTTGTAGGGCACGGTGAAATAATTTATGCTGCAAGATGATGTTATTTTTGAATTTGCCTACTGCATTGTATTGCATTTGAGCAGGTATTTTAATAACTTCTTTTAAAGGATATGCTCTGACTGGTACAAAAACGAGCGTTCAGATCTCGTTTTAATTAATTCACTTAATGCTTATGAGGACACTGCTAGAGCAGGACGATGTCTTCAAACAGTAGCAACACCCACTGTAACAGTAAACACCCTTTCCTTGTACTTGAGTGGGGAGACGTCTTCCTAATCCCCTTGGGTTTGGCCTCATCTGGAGGCTCCTCAGTAGAGGAGGGACTGAAAGTCCTCCTGAAGAGAACTGTCAATTAGAAGATGTTTCTGTTCCCATATATCAGCATCAGACAGTTCACCCTCGTGCAATTTGGGTTCTGGGCCTCCATACTCTCTCGCGGGAAGACACTTCCTCAGCATCAAGGTTCAAAACAGCGTTCCTGTCTCCCTTGGCCCACCTTGGTTGACCAAGAGGCCCCTGTATTACTGACTGGAGGCTGTCATGGGAGAATCCTTTGGCGCTCAGGTAGCCATAATAGTCAAAGGAGGCACCTCTCATCTTTACGTCACTCATCGTGAAATGAAAACGTTTTATGTACTGAAGGAATACGGCCAACAACAAATGCGGTAGGGAAATGGCAGTGGCAGATTGGGAGGGAAGCTGGATGAGATCATAGCTGGTGGTAGAAAGTGCCACCAAGCCACAGCCACTGTAGAGCGACCCCACGGGGTTTTCAAGGCATGAGACATTCCAAGGCGGTTTGCCATTGTCTGCCTCTGCATAGCAACACTGGGATTCCTTGGTGGTCTCCCATCCGAGTACTAGCCGCCCTGAGCCCTGCGGGGGAGGGCGGGGTATAAATTTAATAAATTAAATAAATAAATAAATAACCAGGGCCGACCCTGCTTAGCTTCCGAGATCTGACGAGATCAGAAGAAGATTGGATTTATACCCCGCCCTTCACTTGGAGTCTCAGAGTGGCTTACGAACTCCTTCCCCTTCCCCTCCCCACAACAGACACCCTGTGAGGTGGGTGGGGCTGAGAGAACTCTGACACAAACCCCTCTTTTTCAAGGACAGCTGTGCCAGAGCTTGCGACTGACCCAAGGTCACATCAGCAGCTGCGAGTGGAGGAGTGGGGAGTCAAACCCGGTTCTCCCAGATTAGAGTCCACGCACTTAACCACTACACCAAACTGGCTCTCTAGCCTGGGCCATCCAGGTCAGGGTGAGAACACACATAAACCCTCAGCCTCTTCCCGTAATTAAGCTGTTTGAGCACAAGTGGTTAATCGAATATCTGACAACGCTAATCAGAGTTTGCGGACCAAAGCATCCTTGAGAGTACTAATTTTGTTAAAGATGAGCTGTGGGGAAACAGTGGCTGCCTAATGGCCAAAGAATGACAATTCTAATGTCGGGTTCGGGTTGTGTCACTGCTTAGGCAAACTGCTTTATTTAAAGTAATAATCATCATTCGGCCTCTCAGCACTGCCTTCCTGGGCACAATTCAATTTCATCGTCTGTCTCCAGAGGAATGAGATTGGAACGTAGCAGTAAGGAGGCCGCAGGTCAGAAGCGTTTCAACATCCGCCGTCGTAACACCAGATTACAAAACCAAACCATATTTTCATTGATAAAATCCCTCTAGCAGATTAGGGGGGGGGGGATCAACTCAGACCCAAAGATCTCCACTGCATTATAGCAGGATGCCAGTGGGGAGTTTCTGGGATTTCGGCAGGGCTACAGATGAGGGGGAAATGAGCAATGCACTCCATATGCACGGGAAAGTGTTCTTCAAGCACACAGGGACTCATAAAGCTAAGCTAACAATTGTAAATGCCCAAACCAACCATCACTTTTAACAAAACAGGGGTTTAGGGTATATTGCTCCACAGACCTTAATGAAGATGGTCACCTACCGTGATGCATACCTCCACAACCTCTGGGCTCACTGTCAGGTGCTCCACATGAAAGATGGTTCAGAAATCAGAACTTGTTCAGAAATCACCATTCAAAAGAGGACAGGCTATTTATCAACGACTGTGGGAAGATGGAACGACGTAACATCTGTGCTGAGAAAGCTGCTCCAATTAGTTTCTGAGCATCATTCGAAGTGCCGGTGATAACCCTTGAAGTCCTAAATGCTTTGGTTGACTACCTTCTAAGAAAAACACCTCTTCCTATAAACTCCCACCCAATCCCCATTGAGGTCATTTCAGGCAGTGATCTTAAACCCACAGATGGAGTCCCTTAGATGGGCCCTGGAGCCGCACTTGTCAAGTTACAAGCTGTGCTATTATTGTGTTGCTTTTAGAAGGATCTGGTGTTACAGCTGTTGCAAGAGAGCAAGGGTGTCACAACTTAGGGGACAGTGGTTCAGTGGTAGAGCATCTGCTTGGCGTGCAGAAGGTCCCAAGTTCAATCCCCAAAATCTTCAGTAAGGATGAGGTAGCAAGTGACAGGAAAGACCTCTGAGACCCTAGAGAGCCACTGCCAATCTGAGTAGACAATACTGACTTAGATGGACCAGTAGTCTCACTCAGGATAAGGCAGCTTCATGTGTTTATGTGACTGTTGCTTCTGGGCGTAACGAGTGGAAAGAAGTAGGGGGACAGCAAAATGAGCTCACTCACAGGTGGAAAGGATTGACTTTTAGCACTGGCAAATTTAGAAGCTCTGTCACCTCCTCGTCCTGTCACCTGACTCTGATGTCACCTATAGCATATGTTGCTGCTGCTCTAAGGTGGGCTCCGGATCTGGAAAAGCTGAAGGCCTCCAGTCTAAGGGAGCCCTACTTTGTGTCCGAAAGAAACAAGCCTGAGGACACCATGAAGCCCGTCCACAACTGTTTCTGCTTTCCTCCTTAAGGCTTTGGGGACGGGTGCAGGATGAGGCTCTGGCGATTTTGGCAGGTTTATTACTTTTGACGTCGGTGCACTTGCAGTCCTTAATCAGCACCCGAGATCATAGTCCTGCTACTACCGAACCTCCTAAACCTAAGCACTGTCCTCAGTCATCAGCCTTCAGCACGCATAAGGCTACACCAATAACAAGGGTGCACCAGCATGGAATTCACAGGGGAAGGGGACAAGGTCGGTCAGAGAAAGAGTTCCCCCTTTCCGCTACCCTCCCCACATGCAAGGAGGCTGATGCCGCATCCTCAGAGCTCCAGGGGCTACAGCAGAATGTCCTCTCCTGCCCCAAGCAAGCATCAAGCCCAGTGGAGGGCAAAGAGGTGGCCAGCACTGGCCCATGTAGACGAAGCCTCTCTCATAGTGTTGACTACCAACCCAACCATTAAGCAGTTTCCAGTTGAAAATGTGTCCAGCCCAGTTTTAACATGGCAGCAAGCTTGTCCTTGTTTGTTCTGCTCCTGCCATGTCAACTCATTTCCCGCTTCTTGGTGCTCAAACTTATGTTCCAATTAAGTTGCCTCTTAGCAGCGAGGAAGGCACAGTGTGAACGATCTCTTGTCTGGAACACAAGAGGCACTGAAGAGACCTGACAGTTTGCTGTTGGAGGGCAAATTCACTCTGATGACGGGATTCGTTGCAGGGAGGGAAGAATAAATCCCCAAACAAAGAGCTGTCCAAGAACAAGACAGATTTCTTTAGCTAATGACTTGATACACTTGGAACAACTGTCCTTCATGCAGCCCTCTGAACAACAATCCTGAAAGTTTACAGAAGATAAAGCAACCTATTGATCTGCAAGACAGCATTTCACACGCTGCGTTATTTCCCCCACCATTTTAAAGGAAGATTCCTTGGAAGTGACCCGAAGCTAGGTCTGCCCCAACACTGGATATCGGAAAACACTGTCAGAATGTACTGTGCATATATCTGGCCTACATACATGTGAGCATGCCGTTTTGTAGTCCTGGACGTGTGTTTATATACAAATTTCAACAATCTGCACAAGCAGTAATGGAGAACACTGTGAGCTCGTAACCCAATACTGCTGCTTGATGCTCAAGTGATAGCCATTGTTAGTGCATACTTTATCAGCTGCAGGTGATAGGCAGCCTGCCCCATTTCCTCCTAGACATAAGTGCTACTCGTGGGTCAGTAACTTATTTCAATTCTTGCAATGTACATGATGATTTTGACATTGCTATAATAGGTCTCCCCCACCGCCAGTGATACAGGATGGAAAATTTCAAGCAGGCTTATCTATATCGTGGGCCAAAATGGAAAGTTCATATAAACTGTAATTCTGGGTTAGGTGCATTGTGCATGTTAGTGGTTTTATTGTTTTGTGGCTTTTTTTAGATTGTAACATTTTGAACACTAGGACAGGAACACGTTCTGTAACCAATGATCGAATACATGTTAAGTGTTTACACAGTGAAGTGGCGGTGTCACACCTGCAAGATACAGTGAAAGCCAGCCACAATTTCCACGTTAGAATTAAAGTTTAACTGGAACATAGAGTGGACTTTGGTGCTGGTACTGTAATCCAGTGCTCTCCAAGATAAAACCGAAGAGCTAGCAAGATCCAACCCTCGGTGTCTAAAAGTATTTGCCACAAAAAAACATGACACTTACAGAAGAACACCACACACAGCGTTTATACAAATTTTAATGAGACCAACTGCAAGGGCGTATATGCGGACAGCATGGCCCGTGACAGAAAGGAATCAAAACCCCTAAGTGGGAAGCTTATGAGTCCATTCGACAGCAGAGCCAAACAAAGGAGGGACTCCTCTTCAACAGGTCTAGAAGCGTGTACCAAATACATTCTAAGGGGAAAGAAACCTGAAAATCTATCATACTTTTGGTCCGAATTGTAGTTTTCCAGTTGGCTGATGGACTAGCCAAATTACGAGCGTGTGTATTTGCCCCAGATGTGCAACATAAATACAGATGCAATAAAGAGAAGACTCATTACGAGAACTGGAACAGGACCGCTGAAAAGGGAAAAAAAGGAATTCATTAGCCACAGCAAAAGCTTAGACAAACTGCTGGAGAACAGACTTATCCCCATGTCGGCGAGGCGGTGGGTCAGCAGCTGATGGTCAACTGTGTCAAACGCAGCCGACAGATCTAGCAACAGCAGTACCGCCACACCGCCCCGATCCAGATGCCTCCAGAGGTCATCCGTCAGAGCGACCAGCGCTGTCTCCGTCCTGTGTCCCGGGCGGAAGCCGGACTGGAAGGGATCTAATACGGAAGCATCATCCAGAAAGCCCTGCAATTGTGTCGCTGCCACCCTCTCAATTAATTTGCCCAAATCACATCCCATCTTTAAAAGATCTACCACTTTAAACACTGTTTTAATTAACAGTTGACACTGATGATTCCAAATGCTCAAATGTGGGAATGGAAAAATCTCTGCGAGGCACGCCCGGAGAGGCTTCTGTTCTCACAGGGAGATTGGCAACGGGAGATTGGCAAGCAGGGCACAATCTTTGCTGAGTCTGCATGAGTCTATTATATTATTAAGAGCACAATGAATTACTGAGAGCACAGACTTTGCAACATTCAAGGATGATTTGAGCTGTGAGAAGAACATTCTGTGTTTCTAGTATAGAGGCTTCAAAATGTAACACTTTCACTGTACCATAGATGAGCTTGTTTTTTCTCTCTGAATAAAACGCTACTGACAGGGAGTTCAAAAAGAACAGAAAGCTTGGTACAGAGAGAGACAGAGCTGATCAGCAGCTTCAAGAAATCTGCTGTGTGTGGTGTCGTTATTGAACCCTATCAAAGTCTACACTCAAACTTTGTGGAATTTTGGGCCTTCAGCTCAACAGCCTTCCATGCAAAATAGGAAGGGAAGAACGTGAGAAACTATGTTTTCTTATACCTGTTCCCCATTCAAGCTATACGAAGATAACATAGCTCTCTCCCTGACGTAGACCTGAACTATGACTGCTGCTGTGTCCCCGTCTCCCCCTCGAAAGGTGACTGGATGCTGCAGGAGCCCTCCCCTAGGCTCAGGGACCAAACAGAGGCAGGGCAGCCTCAAACTTTCTCTCCCTCTCCTTTAGTACCAGAATTTGGAGGCAACAAATGAAGTTAATGGCCTATAGATAGAGAAGGGACTAAAGGAAATACTCCATTACTCAATTAGTAATTAAATTGTGGAATTTGATGATGTCTGCTAGTACAGAC